GTTTTGTTCTGTTGTTCATGGGGTCACTACGAGTCTGAACCGACTCGACGGTGCCTAATAACAGCAACGAGAACATATGTTTGCAGGGGGCCGTGGTGGTCCAGTGGGGGAATTCTTGCCTTCCCTGCAGGAGACCTGGGTTCTATTCCCAGTCAATCTCTCTCTTCCATACAAGAATGGTTCTCCAAGTGTAGTCCGCAGACCCCTGGAAGCCCCCAAGACCCTTTCCAGGGAATCCGTGATGTCAGAACTCTTTCCATAATGATACAAAGAAATTATTTGCCTTTTTCACCAATGGCGCAAAAGCAATGGTGGGTAAAACTGCCGACACCTTAGCATAAATTAAGGCAGTGCCACCAACCTGTACTAGTGGTCACCGGGGTCTTCATCACTATGTGTTTGCAGTTAAAAAAGAAAAAAGCCAGTTTCTCCTAAGATTATCCCTGACAGCTATTCAGTCTCGTGCCTTGAGTACACATCTGTTTAACACTGTGTGATGAAACTGGGAAGTATGTGTCATCGATTGAACTGTGTCCCCCAAAAATGTGGGTTAACTTGGCTAGGCCATGATTCCCAGTATTTTGTGATTGTCCACCATTTTGTCATCTGATGTGATTTTCCTATGTGTTGTAAATCCTATCTCTATGTTAATGAGGCAGGACTCAATCTACAAGATTTGGTAAGGTCTTAAATCAATCTCTTGAGATATAAAAAAAGAGAAGCTAGCAGAGAGACAGGGGGACCTCATACCACCAAGAAACAAGAGGCAGAAGAATAGCGGGTCTTTCGAACCCGGGTCCCCTGCGCTGAGACGTTCCTTGACCAGGGAAGATTGATGACAAAGACCTTCTCCCAGAGCCGACAGAGACAGAAAGCTTTCCCCTGGAGCTGGTGCCCTGAATTTGGACTTCTAGCCTCCTAGACTGTGAGAGAATAAATTTATCTTTGTTAAAGTCATCCACTTGTGGCAGTACTGGATAACTAAGACAGGTACCATAACCTAGTCAAATTGACACATAAAGTTAACCACCAAGGTGAGTAGCATCTAGGGACTTAAAGCCTGTGAGCGGCCATCTAAGATATTCCACTGGTCTCACCCCGTCGGGAGCAAGGGAGAATGAAGAAAAGCAAAGACACAAGGGAAAGATTAGTCCAAAGGACTAACGGACCACAACTACCACAGCCTCCACCAGATTGAGTCCAGCACAACTAGATGGTGCCCAGCTACTACCACTGACTGCTCTGACAGGGATCACAATAGAGAATCCCAGACAGAGCTGGAGAAAAATGTAGAACAAAATTCTAGCTCACAAAAAAAAAAGACCAGACTTACCGGTCTGACAGAGACTGGAGAAACCCCAAGAGTATGGCCTACAGACACCCTTTTAACTCAGTACTGAGGTCACTCCTGAGGTTCATCCTTCAGCTAAAGATTTGACAGGCTCATA